ATTTTGTCTAAGAGAAATATATAGGAAATAAATAAATATATATGTATATATATATGTATATACATAATAAATAATTTTGTAAATCGTAAGATTACATCAGATAGAAAGAAATACTATCGATTACGAGTAACCTCGATAAAAGTGTTGTATTTCTTATTGGAAGGTGACTACTTTCGTATATACATATTAGCAATAGTATGTAGTTGCGAATAATCAAATACACAACTACGTATTATTAGTCTTACTTGAAAATCACGATCGTGACGGTGACTACTACTACTACTACTACTACCAACTATGATGACGAGACTAGACTAGACAAGGAAAAAAAAAAAGAAAGAAAAACGTATAATAGATGAGAAAAGAGAGACATTCGTGTTCAGACGGTTGTTGTTGTTGCACGTTCGCGAAATTGAGTTTAGTTTTCTAAGTGTTTCGAATAGAAGCCGGAAGAAAATAATCGAACGTAAATAAAAAGATAGAAAGAAAGAAAGAAAGAAAGAAGAAGAAGAAGAAATAGAAAGAGAAAAGTTCTTTAATTCCAAGAGAGGAATACACGAGTGAAAGCGAAAGTTCAATCTCTTTCTAACGAGTGTAACAAACGTGACGTATATTCCATATATACTATCTTTGTATATATACGCACGTATTAACACACACACACACATATATATTCCTTTAAACAAAAAGAAATAATAGGATATATATAAACAAAGTATTTTTTTTTTTTTTTTTTTGTAAATATTATATTGTAAAATATTCTCTATCGGTCATACTTATGTTAGATCATCCTTATTTAGACATCGATATGATGATTACTTATACTAACTTATCTTTTTAACATAGTTATTAATAATATTTGAAAATTAATATTAAATAATATTTTAAATATATGTTAAATATTGTGTGCTTCTATCGGTCATACTAATGGTCAGATCATTCTTTTTTAGACATCGATATGATGATTATTTATACTAACTTATCTTTTTAACGTAGTTATTAATAATATTTGAAAATTAATATTAAATAATATTTTAAATAATGTATTAAATATTGTGTGCGTTCTAGAATCTTCTCATCTTCTATCGGTCATACTAATGGTTAGATCATTTTTTTTTAGACATCGATATGATTACTTATACTAATTTATTTTTTTCACATAGTTATTAATAATATTTAAAATATATTAAATATTATTTTCTAGAATATTCTCTTCTTCTATCGGTTCTACTTAGATCATTCTTGTTTAGACATCGCTATGATTACTTATACTCACTTATCATTTTAACATAGTTATTAATAATATTTGAAAATTAATATTAAATAATATTTTAAATATATATTAAATATTGTGTGCGTTCTAGAATATTCTCATCTTCTATCGGTCATACTTATGGTTAGATCATTTTTGTTTAGACATCGATATGATTACTTATACTCATTTATTTTTTTAACATAGTTATTAATAATATTTGAAATATATTAAATATTGTTTTGTAGAATATTCTTTTCTTCTATCGGTCATACTTAGATCATCCTTATTTAAACATCGATATAATTACTTATATTCATTTATTTTTTTAACGTAGTCATTTGTAAGTAAATTAAAATTGTTTAGTAAATTAAAAAAGAAATATCGAATAAGTTACAGGAGAACTAATCAAAGTTCGAAAGTTCATTCTTTTGCTATTACTCGTCCTTGAGCCCTTTAAAGAATTTTCCTCCGCCATTTTGATTCTCATTAAATCTTCAGTCGTTCTATTAAACTTTTGTATTATTTCTTTTTGTATTATTTTTTTCTTCTCCCTCCAATAAACTTATTCTTGTGTTACTGCGATCTTTAATAATTATAAATCTCCGAGTGATACTTCAAACTCGTTATTTTATGTTAATGTCGAGTGATTAAATAGAAACCGGACATCACATCATATCGAAGAAACGAGAAAAAACGTAATCGATTACGCTAATAAAATGGATCGTTCAAAAATGTAAGCTTTTTTTCTCTATTGTTTTTTCTTTTGCGTATTTAATACGCATTTAATATGGAATATTTCAAATTATTATTAAGAAAAACAGTGACGTCGGTAATGTAGATATTTATCTTATCACAAAATTCGGGGATTTTTTTGTTAAATACCCCGCAACGTTCGCTGTTACATTTTAAGGCGCGAAATTTGAATTTGAATTCTTTTTTAACGTTTATAAATTTATTTCTCTTTATATATCTCTTTTTTCTTGTTTTCTTTTGTTTTATAGGTTTGTCCTTTTTAAACGACATTACGACAAGTACGTGGCCCTTGCTGCAAAATACGAGGAAGCAAAGGGTATTGCTTACTACTTGGAGGAACGTTACCATGAGGTTAAGGTAAGTTTGTTTTTAATGAAATAAAAATATTATCGTTATAATAAATAATAATAAAATAGGAAAAACCTATCATCATCATCACCATAATCATAATCATCTTCCTGTTTGTATTAAAACCACAGAAATGATATCTAATTTCTCTAAAGGTGCAAGGAAACTACGTTCTTCTTTTACGTGGATGTCCCTCCCCCTCCCCTTCCCCCTTTCCCCAGCGTATTTGCATTTATACGTATGCATGTGTATACGTTTTGTAAGAAAAAAGACACACTGTGTGTATATATAAATAATATATATATTATACATATATACAGTGTCCTTTTTACGTATATTTTCTTTGTCCACAATCAACTTTCGAGACTTTCATTTCTCCTTTGTAATACGATATCGGTTTAGTCAAAGCAGAAGTAAGAAGTTGTTGGGGTCGTCTCTTCGTTTTCTTTTATTTTTCTTTACGAGTACTCTTGAAATCGATAAAGGCCAGCTCTACGTGAAAGTAGTTTCCTTTCTCACAAGGAATCACTATGCCTGCCTATGTTTCTTTGCTCTTTATCCATTTTGTAACTAGCATTATATTATATTATTCGTTTGTAGTTATTTCTTCAATTTTATTTTAATTTTGTTTTATTTTAATATCTTTTTCTTTTTATGTAATATTATTATTATTATTGAATTATGAGTTTATTTATGAATTATTGTTATTATTTTTTGTTCAAAATTTATTAATATTAACAATTGTTTGCTATAAATTACAAGATAGTTTTACAAATTATTATTATAGTAAAATATGATAAATGTTATTATAAAGGATTTGTTATAAATAACATAAAACTTTTGTATTATTATATAATATTGCAAAAATATATAAAAGATAGGTATAATTTAAGAATGTGTGAATTTATAAATTATTTATGAGAATATATTAATGAACGTGTTGAGAAATGAATACTCGGTAAATAATATGAAAGATGATTGGTATAACAACGACGTTCGCAATTTGTTAATTAAATATTTGTTAGCACATATAATCCTTATATACACGATCTTAATTAAGAATGGTATATAAAAAGATATATATATATGTATATACATAGATGAGTAATCCCAGAAATCACGAAACACCATACACAAAACAGCTTCCTCTTTTACAATCGTGTGAAAGTGCAGCAGCAAGGAAGAAGAAGAACAAATAAAAAAAAGAACAAGAAAAGAAAAAAAGAGAAAAAAAAAGAATCAGAGAATAAAGAATATGGCTCGGAGGTTCGGATAAAACTACTTACTTCCTGGAATTATCGGTGTTCCTCGTGAAAGTAAGATTTCGACTAGACCGAGTTGATTTCAAATGTTCGCACGAAAAAAAAGAGATCGTTCGTTCGTTGATTCATTCATTCATTCATTCATTCACTCACTCACTCACTCATTCATTCACATTCGTTCGTTCGTTTGTTTGTTCTTTCATTATTATTTTGATGACGTTACATGCATTACAGTTATCTTGTTATATACCTAGTTCCTTAATTATCTTTATTTAAATTTTTAATTAAAATATATATATATATATATATATATATATGTGTGTGTGTGTGTGTGTGTACATATGAATAAATGTTGTCTACAATTTGGTTTTTAAATAGAATGACTTGATAATTAATATAATATACTATATTACAATGTCTTTTTGCAAAAAAAAAATGTATGCACGCTTGAAAAAGAGAAGATAAATTGTTGAGAAATATTTTAATATTTCATGTACATAAGAACATATTAAGGTAATAATATAGTATGACGTTTTACATTTGGAAAAAATTGTGAACTGCATTTTTAACTTAATTTTTCACATAGAATCATCTTCTTTTTAATTATTGTATATATATACCCATACATATGAATAAATGTTATATACTATTTGGTTTATGTATACAATAACTTGGTAATTAATATAATATACAATATAACAGAATACGTCAATAAAAATAATGTTTGAAAATTGTTTAAAATATTATATTAATATTTAACGTATTTTCATATACAATTGTATGACGATTATCATTTGAAAAAAATTCTATTCTATATTTCCTGATTTCAATTTTCACATAGAATCATTTTCTTTTTAATTATTGTATATATATACGCATACATATATGAATAAATGTTATCTACAATTTGGTTTTTAAATACAATAACTTGATAATTAATATAATATACAATATAAAAGAATCCGTGTCAATAAAAATAATGTTTGAACATTTGAGAAAGTGAAGAAAAATTGTTTATATAAAAATAATTTAATATTTACTATTTAATATTTATAGAAAAAAAGTATTAAGGTAATACATTATAATATGATGATTCACATTTGGAAAAAATTCTAATCTATATTTCCTGATTTTATCTTTCACAAATAACCATCTTCTGCTTGCTTGTAATACTAGTTATAAGATATATATTTAAAATACGGTACAGAAGAAAATTGAAATCGGAGACATATACCGGTTGGTGAAATCCAATGAAGCCACACAATATTGTTTGCAGTCAGGTCATTGTCGTGAGACACACCCTGTATATATCTATATATGAGATAATCTTACAATTAGTCAAATACAAGCTGCCCAAAAATTATCCAAATATATAATATTTATTTACAGTTTGAATATATAAAAAATTTGAAAACATACTTCTAATTTTTATATACATATATATTGTCAATATTTTTGAGACACCTTGTATATACTATATAATACTCTATACATAAAATAATAATAATAATAATAAATATATAATATTTGTAATTATAACGTTTGTGAAATAATTTTTTAATAGAAACTTTTAATTTTATCAATACTATCAAAATTTTTGAGACACCTTGTATATACTCTATATAATATACTTATCTACATTGATATATCGATTTATATATTAAATCTTTATTTGATAAGAATTCACTAAGACACTTATCTGTTTATTTAATTTACTTGTTTTTAGTTCAATGCGTCATATTTAATTATAAAGCAAATAATTAATGACAAACGTGTTTTCCAATCTAATCGCGTCACATAAGTTTTACGTAATTTCTATCTTAACGTTATACGTCATTAGCTAAAAAAAAAAAAGAAAAAAAACAGAATAAAATAAGGAAATCCAAATCGATTCAATATTAAATTCCAATTTTATTTCACATATAGTAATACGAGAAATAAAATATTATTAAATGTGTTATCTATCCATCGTTATTTTTTTCCTAATAATACGTTAAAATTATATTTGCATATTAATATTAATAACATGAAATTACAAAAAAGAAAAAAAATGTCTTAAGCTATTCCAGAAAGATAGTTAAACTAACGAAGCGTAATATTTTAAATAAAGAGATGCAGATTTGCATATACGATACATAGAACAAGATAATGCAAGCGGATGAGAATTCTTTCAAATAAACGTATAACAAAATTTAATATATATGTATAATAATAATATATATTATATAATGTAAATAATATAAAATATAATGATTTAAGATTGTTAATAAAAATATTTGTAGAGGAGGGATTGAGTTGAGCATAAACAAAAAATTGTGAGATAAATATAAATATAAGTGTAGTAATAATAATACATTGTAAAAAACTTTGTAAGTTGTGCAATAGAAACCT